ACGGTCGTTTTGTGCTAAAGGATAATATTGTAATTTTTAAAATATGATTTTTTTGTTTTTTAAATAAAAGGGAATATAATAAGGGTAATTTAGTCATTTCACCTACCTTTAACGGCCAATTGCCAGAGTTGGGGTAATATGATAACGTTTCTATATTGTTGGGGGTTTTAAAAACTGGGTGGAGTTTTATGATCACTTTTTAATAGTTTTGGGGGTTTTGAGAAATTTGCCCTAAAAACAAACCCTGTGACTCAAATGGTATTTTGATTTTGTCCTCAGGTACAATTAGTAATAGAAAAGTTTCATTAATATTTGTAGTACTTTCCTTCCATTGCCCTTTTTTGAGAGTATAACAAAATTAATTTATTCATAATGCCTAATCTATATACCTCTCAAAATTTTATATTAAACACGTATACTATTTTCCTTTATTATCGTTTTTACTTTTCTTTTCCTTCCATTTCTCTCCAATCAAACTTGCCCTTAGAGTCTACAATTTTTTTATTTTTTTTTAATTCTTTCTTTATGCTCTGTTTGAAGGGAAAGAAGAATGGATGAATGAGACATCCCTAGGAACGATTATATATTTCCTTCTTTTTGTTCAGTTAGATAGAAGAGAAGAAATTAATAATTTACTATGTTTGTTAAGAAAGAAGGAAATGAAAAGTTTTTACTGTAATTTAAAACTAGTATAATTTAGGATAATATTTAATTTAAAACTTGTATAATAGTCTAATTTTTTCCCTCATTTTTTTCACTTATTTTTTAGTTAATGAAAATTTGTAAAGGAGTAAGGATGATCATCTTTTTTTTATTTTATTTTATTTTTTATTTTTTTTATCTCTCTACGGGAGGGAGAGAGAGAGAAAACCCTTAATTGTGGTTGTCAAGTGACGTTATATTGTCAACTGATTAAATACTCACACGATTTACTAAAATAAAATACTTTTATTTATGTGACAAGATACAATTGGTTGACGGAATAGATAACGAAGTATTAAAGGTGTGGATAAAATTTTCTCCTACCGAACAAAATTCTTTGCTTCCTTCCCATCGAAGACAGCATTAATCCATAACATATTCTTGGAAGAAATCACACAGCTAAAGCCTTCAGCATCTTCATGCATGTTAGTCAGAAGAATGAACTAATAGAAACATGAGAGAGAATAATAAAGAGGGAGAGAGAACAGCACCTGAAACATCAGAGGAGAGAACAAAAGAAGAAGTTTTAGATAAATTCTCACTTTCTATTAAATTAATAAAAAGAAACTCTCCACTTAAGAGAAGTTGCATAGATCTCATCCTGCCAAGTTTGTTCATCACCAATAATTCTTCCCATTTCTTTAAATTAAAACACAAAAGGGGCCTTGTCAGTGGGCATTTCCTTTTAAAGGCAATTGAGTTCCTTTTGAATGGCCATCCCTACCCAACTCTCCAAAAGTATACCCTATTCACAACCCCTATTTTTTCAAAGTTGAATCCTCCATAAGCATTATCAATTAAAATATACATTTAACTTGTAATGAGAAAAGTTAAAACTTCAATCAATCTAATGATTAAGGAACATAGACATGATATAGATCCAATAATGAAGCTACTTATTGTTAAATCATGTTCTAGTGTTCAATCTTAGAGGTGGTGCAAATTGGATGACGAAACTTGCTCATGTTTCACAGCTAACTCAAGTGGTAAAAGCACAAGATACACACACACACACACACAAATTTGGAGTTCAAGAAGGTGCCAAAAAAGAGAGCAAAATCTACCCTCAATCAATCTGGGGAGGAATATAGACATGCATGGTATAGATAAATGTTGTTTGGATTTAACCGAAAAGGTTAATCTGAGTGATTTATATCTTTTAGATGAAGTGGATAAGATCAATATTTTAAGTTTATATTTCTCTAAACTTGAGTTCTTGATTAGAGTTCATTATACTTAATAATGAATAAAGTTAGATAAGCACAAAGATAAATAAGTATATGTATATATTCCAAGATTGAAGCACGAGAAAATGCCACGATAGGCTTATGAATTAAAATAACATATATTTTGCAGAAAAAATATAATTGCTATGTTGGATTGGAGGGAAGATAGGGATGGAGGGAAGAAAGATAGGGATGGATGATAGCGGAGATAGAATGACCTTTTCAAAATGTAGAAAGGAGACCGACTTGCATTGCACTGTAAACGAGTGGATTTGATAAATCATTGGTTCATAAATGTTGCATAATTTGAAATAGATATTTAATTAATATAATTTTATATAATGAGGGTTCAAAGACCTAGTAATTTGACGGTATTTCTTCATCTTTCAAAATAAAAAGTTGAGCATTTGAGTCCTTAGATGTGTGCTTGTGTTTCTTACTAATGAAAAAAAAAAATTTATATAATGTGTAGATTAATAAAAATAATAAAAAAACTTTTTTTTTTTCTTTTCTTCCAGCAAATATATATATATATATATATTATTACCCCAAACAAAATTCCAATCAATCATAAAGCAACATGGTAGATCACCTTGTATAAAACCAATAAATAGGTAGCAAATTAACCAATGTCCAATGTGTAGTGGTTTGAATCATTAAATGCTAGTAGTAGTATTGTAAAAAGCATGCGGAATAATATTGATTGCTTAATGTCTGTAGGTAGTAGAATCCTACTAAATAGAAATTCAATTGTGTCCACTCTCTATCCTTGAATGTGTCACAAAGCTTAATATTCCTTCCCAATAAATAATAAATTAAATGGAAGTGAAAGTTGGATTTCTTAGGAATCTTAGTGTAACTCCACAAGTTATAAAAACAAGTGACCCCCCCTCCCCCCCAAAAAAAAAACACCCTCCAATGAATCGGAGACATCAAGCAATTCATAGGGATGTTTTGTCCACAAAAGAAACCCCACTCTAGTACTTCCCCCCAAGTACGAGATGCTCTATTTATTAAACGTGTGATTAAACATTCAACGCTTCAAACAATTAATTACACGGGACAGATTATTTACTTGATTTGTCAATAGATCAAATTTTAATAAAAAATATTGTCAAATTAATTAATTAAACAAATTAAATATAAATTATGTTTGATTCCATTCAATAATAATTATATCCGAAACAATATACAACAATATATATATATATATATATATATATATATATATATTATATTATCTAATGTTATACTATATAATATTTACATAATATTATTATTATTATTATTATTATTTTGGTTGGCATCGGAACTCACCTGGGCAGGACCTCTTCAAGATCCACCCAAGGCTACAAATCGGGGATCCTGTCGACGGTCATACACCTCAGCAACAATTTCAGTCGAGAGTTATAATGGAGATGGACGAGTTTGAACCTGAGGCATGAGCGTTCCTAGGTCGTTAGCTTTCCAATTCGGTCAAGCCCCCGGGAACATATTTACATATTATTAAAATTATATTTTATGATTATTTTCTCCTTCTTCCTCTACTTTGTGTCACTTTTATTTTTTTCCTTTAATAAAAAGTCAAACACCTTCTTTCTTGTAATCATTTGTTTATATTTTATTTTTCTTCCCTGGCTTCTCTCTTTTTTTCTTAATAATTGTTTGCTAATATATTTTGACATTAAGTTTCTCTTAAAAAAAAAAAATTTCCTTTTCTAATTGAGTTGTTAGGTTGAATGTATATTTACCAATGGCTGTTTGGTACACATTTTTTTATTTATTTTTTGTTTGTTTTAACTCAAAACAAAATAGGTGTTTTGTTGTAGACTGTTTTGAATGGTAATTTGAAGTATGTTTGATAAGATTTTTGAAAACAAAAACATATTTGGTAATAAAATATTACAAGTGTGAAAACATATAAAAATATCAAATTGGTATTTCAATTTTTGTTAAACATTTCGACATTATGAAAGAAAAAATGTGTTTTTTTACTGTTTACTATTACGTACCCGATAAAAACAAAAACAAAAATATTAAGAACAAAACACGTATCAAACAAACCTTAACAAATTAGATTTAGATTAAATTTTAAATAATTAATTTGAGTTAGTAACGACTCATATTGGATTGTGCCTGATCCGGTTCAAATGGGACCCGTTTACAAGCACACTAATTATATGCAATGTGTACTGCCTATCAATGAGCATGGACCTAATTTATGGAATGAAAAATCCATTTTACCCTTCATATTTTAGTAATTTCAAATGAAAAAGAATATTTTGATGTGAAATGTATTTTCCACCCTACATGTATAACCAAAACTCCCGCATTTCAATTTTGTTTTTGAAATAATATAAGGAAGTTTTATGGAAAAAAACAATAAAATTCTTTTTAAAAAATCGTACAAGTTAAGGGAGGTTGCATTTTCTCCTAATAAATATTTACTTAAACATATATATATATACACACACACACATTCACTTAAAAATGTATGTATAATATGATTTTGAGAATGAAAATAATTCCCTTATCATCCGAGCTCTCTTGAATTTTTTTTTTAATTCAAGACTATTCAATTGAGGGAGGATTTCATTGTCTTTGAGTTTTGAAGTCGTTATTGTCAGTATATAAAAGTTTGCTTGAACTTCTTAAAAATAATATTTATTTCTGTTTCATTTTAAATGTCTACTTCGAAAACTGTGACTCACAAAAATAATAATACAATTTGATTTTTATGAGCCACAAATTTGAAAGAAGACTTTTAAAATAGGTTAGAAGAAATAATAATAATAAGAGTAATAATAGAGGAATTGAAAATGAATCGTTGAATTAACACCGAAGTTCGGCTATATTTATCACATGTTAAATAATTATTTTTTAAAAATTATTTAAATAAATGAGGTGGACAAAAATACTTCAAATTCTGAACTTATTCAAAAAAAATCATTCGATAACTCTATTATTTTCTTAATAATAAAAATAACATTTCAAAACAACAACAATAATAATAACAATCAAAATACAAATAAATAATGGGGGTCTTCTGGTAGCATTTCTTGTTAAAGTAGACTCGCACAAAGGAAAGACAAAACAGTTGCACGTGCGCCGTGGGGGACCGTTAACCCCTGGCCGTACCCTCCGCCAACATTCCTTCTTCTCTTCCTCCCTCCCTCAAAACCAGACCAAGCTGTCTCTCTCTCACACACACATACACTAAATTGTGTTTTTATAGTTTAGAATTATATATGCCCTAGCTAGTTTCTTCAAGGTCGTGTTTAATTGCTAGAATCTGACTTCCCTGCTAGCTAGCTGTTCCTTAATTTCCCGATGGATAGTGGTTTTTCTTCTCCTCGAGCTGACACCTTTCCGGCCGGTCTTCGGGTGCTTGTGGTCGACGATGATCTAACATGGTTGAAAATCCTTGAGAAGATGCTCAAAAAGTGTTCCTATGAAGGTTTTCCTTAAACCCAACAAATTTTTTAATTTTTTTTTTCCTTATTCATCTTATAATTAAGTGATTGGTTATACTAGATGATATAATTAGAGTGCAATATTACACTTTTGATGTATAATAAGAACAATTTCTTTAGTCATGTGTACAATTATAAGTGTTCTCATGCTATATTGTTCAGTATTTGTATTTGAATTATGGAAAGCCACTAATTAAGTGTGATTATGTATTTTTTCAATACTATTTTAGTTTTATGTTACGTTAATTGTTAATATTGAGTTGGGTTTCTTAAATAAGTTTTTCATTTTGATCATGATGTTTTTTGAGCTCATGCTCAGTTTTTGAAAGACTGATTGTAGAAGTTCAAATTCATGTTTATACATGCCCATCCAAAGGAAAGTGTATATTGACATTGGGAACGATAAAATTTCAAAGAAAATTATGTTCAAGTATTTGGATTTTGCAATAGCAGTAATTGTTTGCCTTTGTGCTATTTGTGTTTGTGAATATGATTATTTGGAATCAGTTTTAACTTGTGATCTAAATAGATGGGCTTGTATGGACTGTAGGCTGCAATTTGATTAGATTTGATTAAACTTTTGAGTCTTCAAAATATTAATATATAAATAAATAATAAAACAGGGAAAAAGAAGTTAATGATCACAGAGCAGCTGGGGATGATATAGAAAGAAAAAAAAATCTGATTTTTAATGTATGAAATCAAGATATCAAAGGTTTTTCCATTGTTTGAATTGTTCATTGAGGAAATAGAATATAGTTGCATCCTTGATGTCAAAATGTTTGGTACCACTTAATGTAACATTGAATTCTGTTCAAAGAATGAAGCTATGCAACTGGATGGAATCCCCCCCCCCCCCCCCCCCCCCCCTTTTTTTTTTTTGCAGTCCACAAACTTTTGTTCAGCTATTCTCTACTGGACAGGATGAAAATGCTTTATCTTTATCCTTTCTGACCATTTCTGTTCCTTTTGAATTTGTTTGATTCAGTGACTACATGTAGTCTGGCCAGAGACGCTTTACAGTTGCTTCGTGAAAGAAAAGATGGATTTGACATTGTCATCAGTGATGTTAACATGCCTGACATGGATGGTTTCAAGCTTCTTGAGCATGTCGGACTTGAGATGGATCTTCCTGTCATTAGTTAGTCCACTGTCATAATGTTTGAAGCTTCTCTTAGTGCTAGCTTTTCTTATTCTTTTTCATTTACATCCTCTGATATTTGTTTTTGACAAGCTTTGTTCTTTGAACCTGCACAGTGATGTCTGTTGATGGGGAAACAAGCAGAGTGATGAAAGGTGTTCAACATGGAGCATGCGATTATCTTCTCAAGCCTATAAGATTGAAAGAACTAAAAAATATTTGGCAGCATGTCCTCAGGAAAAAAATACATGAGGTAAGAGACATTGAAAGTCTTGAAGGCTCTGAAGAAGTTAAGATGATGAGAAATGGATTAGACCAATATGATGATAGGCATTTGCATAGTGGAGGTGATCTGTCTCCTGGAAAGAAAAGGAAAGAAGTTGAAATCAAGCACGATGAGAGAGACTTTGGTGATCCTTCTGTGAAGAAACCTAGAGTAGTTTGGACTGTAGAACTTCACCAGAAATTTGTCAAAGCTGTTAATCTGATTGGATTTGATAGTAAGTGTAAAATGAACTCTCATTTCCAATAGATTGGTATTTAGATGATTATGTAAATTAGAGATTATTGTGCATTAAATTTTACATTGTTAACCTTCCTTTTATTATGTAGGAGATTTTCTATTATATATAGATACATAGATGTTGTCTTCAAACATGCTTATGGAGAGCCATGGTGTTTCATTTCTTTTGGCAGAAGTTGGTCCTAAAAAAATACTTGACTTGATGAACGTGCCGTGGTTGACAAGAGAAAATGTTGCTAGTCACTTGCAGGTACATATATAAACTCCTTCTACTGATATTGGTTAAAAAAAATCATACCATCATTAGGAAATATTACTTCTGAGTTTTCTATATCATCAAAGCAACACTGTGATGTCTGTACTATGAGACTATAAATTAAATAGGTCAAAAATTGGTAATATTAAAATTTAGCTCCCCTCTTCTCTTCGGGAGTTTCTAGCATAATCTGTCATGAATTCGCAGCCTACTATTGGAAATGGTCGCTCATTCACATTAACTGTACATTTTTATTTCCAAGAATATAAAGTTGTTTTAACATCCCCTCTTTCCCCCAACCCAATGTAATGAAAGCACATCTGTGGCTTTTAAAAACAGACGGTCTTAAAAAAGAGAAAAGAGAAGTATGTTCAGCTAATTGTATGATAATCATAGGAAACCACGTTTATATATTTTTTTCCTTTTACAGAAGTACCGCCTATATTTGAGTAGGTTACAAGAAGATGATGACCTACAAGCTTCTTTTGCTGGGATAAAGCATTCGGATCTGTCTTCAAAAGAGTCTGCTGGAAGTCTTGGCCTTCAGATTTCAAACAGTATGCAACAAAATGATGCCGCTAATGCCAACTACGGATTTTCTGTCGATAAAATCCTAGTACATAACGTGGATCCCAAAATCAATGAAGGTGATGTTAATTGTGTTAAGTCATTGCCAATTACAGAACCCCATAAAGTTCTGATTGGTGACATTCCCGATCCTCAGACATCTAGTTATTCATGGATGGGCTTTAATAACTCTCTGAGACAACCAAAGCCACATGTAAACTATGCAGCATTTGGTTCTACCATCGAGGAGAACACTTGCAGTGAAGTTTCCAAAATTCAGTTCAAACATGAACATAAGCACTATCTTCAGTCGGAGGATGACTTCAGCAATCTGTTAATGCCTGATCCACAGCATCACATCCAAGTTGGTTGCCTACAGCCTGCTCCATCTATTAATCCTCCCAGGCCTTTCGACACAGAAAGAGATAAACCGGCACCAATTGATGTCAAGCCTCCATATGCCAAATATGGAAGCAATCACATCAAACACATTGCTCCTGTAGGAAGTGTAATTGACTTGTTTTCTGCTCAACCTGAGAGCCATTTGGCAAACTTTCTATCTTGTGAACCAATTCCTACAACTTCATTGAGCATGAAGAATCATGGCTTAGACCTGAGTTGTATCGAAGATTCTGAATCTGCCCAAGGAAATCTAATTTTGGGCAGTGGGCAGGTTTTTGCGTCTTTAGAAGAGGGCTGGAGAACCCGTCTTCTTCAAAGTGATTGTTATACAATGGATCCTGGACTGCAGAACAAAGAATTTTTTGACCATGACAATTCAGAGCTAATTGCCGAAGTTCCAGTACACTGGTACGATGCACTGAGGTTTGACTATGAGTATCCTGTGACATAATGGACTATCTTGTAATAGGTTAAGGTTATGAAGATGATCAATTAGGGCTTTTGTTTACAAGATGTCTTCAACAAAGAAAGGCAACTCCATGTTTTATTCCTGTCAACTGGTATGTAAGTAAAGTAACTCCAAATTGATGTACTAAATTATCTTCTTTCCTACCAAAATGGACATGGTTGTTGAACATGTACATGGGGGTTGATGAGAAACAATAAGCATGATAAGCAAGCTTCTTCAAGTACTTCAAGGTGACTTATGTTTACTTTGTGTTACATATACAATGCATAAGTCCTTGCAATTTTTGTAATATATTCCATTTCTTTTCGGGTAGGTAAATGTACTCCCTCTCTCTCTCCCTCTCTCTCTCACACACACAAACACACACACCCGCCCCCTCAGTGAGGCTTGAAACCTCAAACCTTTCTATTGAGAAGGTGGAGGGCATACCACCCAAGCCAAGGTTTTGATGATTTTAAAGTCCTACTATATTTTTAGTTGTATGAAGAAGTTATGTCGCTTTTTTAATGCTGATTTTATATTGAACCGATGAACTACATTAATCTCTGTCCCTTTAACTTGACTAGTAATGGATGGTAGCCACGGGAGGAATTGCACCCAACAAAAAAAATAATAATAATAAATGAAAAAAATAAAAAAGAAGGTACCAATATCCTACTTTCGAAGTTTATGGATGACTTAATTCTGGAATCAAACCAGACTTCCCGACAGACCTGCATTTTTCATGTCAATATAGTTTGAAATTTTGCTGCTTGATATGCTCTTATATATAGGAGCAAGTACAATTGGCTTGGGACTTGGGAGCAATGTCTAAGTCAAAACTTAGACATTGATAATTAAGGGTCATTTAACCCCATTTCCCGTTAAAACTTTCTTAGTACGTATCAAATATCATTTGTGAATTTTAATCATTGAAAATTACATACCAAAAAATTAGAAGTTACATGTGCATTTATATATTAATGCACAATTTGAAGATAAAAAAGAAGGCAAAAACAAGCACTAAACCAAGAATTGAAGAAAAAACACACTCGTCTTCTTCACTCATTCCACATTGATGTCCAAAATCTTGGAAGTGGCACTAGCTTTGGGTATAGCTATATACAACACTCCATCTTTAACCTCAGCCTTGATTTTCTCAAACTGAACATTCTCTGGCAAGGCAATCCTGCTGCTGTACCTGCCATAGCTCTTGGCAGACCACTCTTCCTCACCCTCATCACCACTTTCACTCCTCTCCTTGGGCACCTTCTCAGCTTTCACAACCAACATTTTCTCTTCAACCCAAACCTTCACATCCTCTTTGGTCATGCCAGGCATGTCAAACCTCATCTTGTACTCTCCCTTCCCTTCTTTTATCTCCCAAGGAGTTCTTCCTCTGCTGTACCCACCGCTCTCCGTCGGCGGCACCGGTGACGGCCACCCACCACCGTAGGCCAAAGGGTCCTCCATCATCCTCTCCATTGTCTCCATCATTTGCTGCACTGTCCTAGCTGTTGGGAACCTATCCCACAACCCTGCATACACAAATATATATAACTAGTCAGTCCATATGCATAAAATTGAGACTACATGGTGAGTTTTGTGATTTGGGTATGAATTATACCTATAGGAGTAACTTGGGCAACTCTTTTCTTGGGTTGTTGAGGACCTTGAGGTTGATTCTTGCTTGCTCTTTGCAAGTGGTCAAGACTGTCTCTGTCATCCCCTGCCACAGCTTTGATGTTGTTGTGACGACCTCTACTAGTACTAATTGGGATCAACAAGTTGGGGGATTTTGAGTGTAATAGCTTGGAATTGGGACTGGTTCTTTGGGATGATGAAATGGGCACATAGATTGAGAAGTTTGCAAGAGTTTGGGACATTTTGCTTCTCTGTTTCTTTGATACTAGAACAAAACCAAGAGATTAAACTAGACTGTATTTGGGTAGGATTGATGGATTGAATGATATTTAATGAAGGAATGGACATTTCTGGAAAGAAGGGTTGCTCTGTTTTCTGGACTCCTCCAGAAGACCTTCACTGGATAAGTTTTAGGGGTGATCTGTTTTCTGGACTTCTCCAGAAGGTCTTCACTGGATAAGTTCTCTCTCGTGGGCAAAATGGTCTTTATAGAGGGAAAGTTTCTCTCTCTCTCTCTCTCTCTCTTGATGGCGACAGAATCCAACAGCTGACACATAAATTCTTTGCTTCTGTAAATTATAATGTTTCCAAATAAATTTGGAAAATATGAGATTTTCATGTTGGTTTTTTTTATTTATTTAAATAATAATTATGTTAATTAAAAAGAGTTCTTGTTAGATACTAAAATAGTGGAAAAATTGAATCGTCAAGTGTGACAGTTTTCTTTAATTTATCATAACTGAATTGTGCTTCCCATTTGATTAACTAAAAATTTGTTGAAAAGTGAAAATTCTATCTCGAAGGTTTACATGAAAACTTCTCATTTGTGTGAAAACATCAAATTTTTCACACCCCTACGACTCATATTTGACATTAGATATCAAGCTTAGGGTCTGGGAAGAATTTTATTTTTTCCTAAAAAATATGGGTTTCTTATTTGATTAGACATGTTTAAGATGATGCTATCTGGTGATTAACAATTAAATTGTATTAATTACAATTGATCTTGTCTGGTTTCACTCAAATGATAAACAATATTAATTCAACTGGCATGGTTTGTTACTGATTAATGAATTCAAAAGTAGAAGAATCTATTGATATCTTGAACTTTTGTGGTAGGTAGTTGTACACTAGTACTATAATTACTTTGTCTACTTTTGATTTCACTTGCAGTTCTTTTCCCCATATTTTTTGGCAGTTGCTTATGAATTTTATGGAAGTAATATAAAGTTTTTTAGGTCATTGCTTTTAATAAGATGCATCAATTTGTGGATAATATTTATATATTCATATCACTATTTCTGCACTGCATGTTGTTTATTTGTGCAGTGGTAGTGAAGCCAGCCTGACAACCATCATAAACCCTATAAAATTCATGAAATTGAGAATGCAATCAAAGAAATTTCTGGTTTGTAGCTTGTTAGATAATGACAAGTTGGAGAGGTGTGCTGAAACTAGGGTTTTTTAATCAATTTTTTTCAAGAATTTCTAACTTTGGATCCTTTTGATTCTCTTGTGACTAAGCATAATCTTTGTATATCTCAATAGTTGGGTGTCATTTGCAGCTTGTAACTTTTTCCCCCAAACTTTAAAAAAAAAAAAAAAAATGTCAAAATTATGTCACGGCAATAATTGAGAAATGTCATGTCAAAATTATGTCGCTAGAAACCCTAATCAGTGCTCTGAATTTCTTGCAAAATTGTTTACAAGATTAATTATGGAAAACATTGATAATTGTTGAAGCCTTGATGATGCTTACCCAACATCTAAATGTTGAGTACAAACATATAAGCTTACAATTTTGTTTACTTGATTAAATGATTCCAATAAACAGTTAATAAATATAATGCTGCCTATTATTATTCAGTTATTTGTTTTTAGAATTAGTTGTTCTCATGATTGAATATACTTGTATAAATTATTTCTCCCCTTATAGTTAAATGCACTTTAATTTTTATTTCCTTAATGTATGCACATATTAACCAGTTTCATTTCATGTATGCACATTCTTTGTATCATCAGTTACATGTATATACTCAAACCCAGAATCCAAGTGAACCTTCAAGCACACATTTTGCATGACAGAGAAGTACATACTTGGGAAAATAAAAGATGTACAAAATATTCAGGTATGAGTTTATGCAACACACAAACTTGGAGATCTTTTTTTCATAGGAAAATCTCTTCTAGATTATTAAAACCATCCCATGAGAGCAAATTATTGGGGCCATCAACCCAATCTTGGAGAAAATCTGTAGGCAGAGCTGCATCCATTCCCAAACCAGAAGGATTCGCGTCTGGCGCGACCTCTGATCCATCCTCGAAGCCTCCCCACATTTGATTGATATTGGAAAGATTGGACTCATTTAAGCCAAAGCTGGATGTCCCTTCCCTATGTGACATTTGATGATCCTTAGAGCCTGAACTAGTCTTAGTCTGCAAGTCGAGGTCCAAGTTGTTTTCTTGTTCTCCTGAGGAACTAGGCTGCAACATTCCTAATTCATCTTTCGTGTCGCCATTTTCATGCTGCTCAATAGGCTTGTGGGTGATGGGGTCTAAACCAAGAAGCTTTAGTTTCTTCTTGATTCTGGTATTCCAGTGATTCTTGATTTCATTATCCGTTCGGCCAGGAAAATGTGAAGCAATCTTGGACCACCTGCCAAAGTTTTTGATTTTTTTACAATGACTAGCTATCTCAAGAAATTATCATCCATAATCAATTTCAAACTAAAAAAAAATAAAAAATAAAAATTTATTCTAGGTCTAGAAGATAATATTTGCATTTTGCACTATAATACCTGTTACCGAAGCGAGAATGAAGTTGGATGATCATATCTTCTTCTGCTTCTGTTAATGCTCCTCTCTTGAGATCAGGCCTCAGATAATTAATCCATCTTAGTCTACAGCTCTTTCCACATCTCAGCAAACCTTCATTATTACCCAAACCATTGTTAGCTGCATTATCAGTACTTGACATAACATTTGCGTTAACACTATACAAAACATACTTATGTAATTTATTGTGTTTATGTGTGTGTGTGTGTGTGTGTGTGTATTAGAGAGAGAGAGAGAGAGGCACCAGCAAGTTTTGGAACAAGTCTCCAGCATTGTATACCATTGTTGAGGATGAAGTTCATGAGTTTATGATCTTCTTCAATAGTCCATGGACCTCTTTTCAATCCTATCTTATCACAACAAGGTTGTCTCCCCATTATGCAATTAGATTTCACAGTAGAAAGAAACTGATCAAAACAATGGAAGATTTAATGAATTGATGAAGAGAGAAGAGATAGTTAATGTAGGGGTTGCAGCCCAAAAAAAGGTGCTTTTAAATTCAAGCAAAGATGCTCTGCCAGTTCATACACAGTTTGAAGAAATATTGTTTATGAGGAGTTCATGATTGAGTGAGAAAGCATCAAACTTGATACCCATTAGAATAATTGTCTCCTTGTTAATAAGAAATTAATTGGTCACCACCATTGTTAAAATAATTGCAAGCTATTAGAGTCCAGAAAATTGAGAAGGAAAAAGAGAGAAACAGACGTGAGTCCTTGTCGTTGACAAGCTCTTTCATTTGCCTGCAAAGTCTTCTCCTATTTTTTTTTAATTTTTTATTATTGAATTGAGATGTTAAACAATAAATTGGAAAGATTCCAAGGTCACCTTTTAGTTGGCAAGTTCCATTTATGGGGGGCAACTCTTTTTCTTTTATTTGGAAAAGGGTTTTTGATTGATTAATTTCGAGCATCTTATTTTTATTTTCACAAATTCAACTTGTTCCATGTACCAAATCTTTGGCTGATTATTCTGAATATACCAATTCTATAAATTGCCGTATTTCCAAGCAATTTTAATATGAGCATGGCTCCAAATAAATTTATGAGTATTCTGAGACTTTTTTTTTTTTTTGGTTATATCTTCGACTTGTATCCATTCCGGAAGCTAGCTTGAGCATAAACTATTGGAGACTTTGGAGTGCATACATTTTGGTTTGGTTCACTAAAATTAAAGTGGATGTCATTCTTTAGTTGATGTAATGACTTTAGCTAAGTCACATAATCTGCGCATGGAGTGACACTTCCCAAATTCTGAGCATGAACAGGGGAGTTGGGAACAAATTCTCCCCAAATTCTCAAACAAGAGTTCGCAAATTCATTTCAACAGTTCCCGAATTGTGTGTGGTTTACCTTCCAATTTGCGAATTCATTTCCCCAATCTGCGAATTGTGTTTGGATTACACAAGTTACCTTCCATCATATTGTATGTATGCCTATATGTCTAATGTATCCACGCACATATATGTGTCTGCATGGAGAGCTTCTGCCATGGAGACGCATGAGCGCTAAGGGTGACTCTACATAGCGTCTGTATGGGCCGTATGGCTACCATGGCATAAGTAAAATAGAGTTCTATAGTCTTTTAAAATTGTATGAAAATTATGAAGTACTGTAAAAAGAGTCGGAAGATTTTAGGATGTTGTAGAAATTGTAGATATATGCAGAAAGTAATAATATTCTAAAATAGCAGAGAATTTTATAGTAGTGTTTATGTAAGGGATTGTAGATAATAATTAGATATTATAAATAGGATAAGAATTTCATTTGTAAACAACAAACCCAATAAAATTGAGTAGAGAATTCTTTCACATTATATCTGATTGTTATAAGAGAGCATATATACATATGGATATTTATTGTTTTTTCAGACAAAATTTAACTTAGTAACAAATATTATTATTTATTGAGCATGTTTTTTTTAAATTATTCTTCCATATAATGTGAAATTGATAAATATCACGGTAAGATAATCGAATGGCTTGATTCGGTGATTTTTCATTGAGAGAGGAAAAGAAGGTGAATTAACCCAGATGATAATTGGAGTATACCCACCCTTGAAATCACTTAAGGGATTAAAACCTTTCGCTGATAATTGGAGTATACCCACCCTTGAAATCACTTAAGGGATTAAAACCTTTCGCTGAAAACCTCAACAAAGTTACAGACATGATTACAACTTTTGGAAGGGAAGTCCAGTCTTAGATTGAGAAATATTATATTGGTGCTCTTGGTTAGGAATTTTCTTATGAATGAATTAAAATGGTACAATTTATTGTATCTTAATAATAAAATTCATATCAGGCTCTATCTCCGACTTCTTTCGAATAATCGATTTGTCACTCGTCCCTATTTGTATTGGTTGAGAAAACCAGCCTCTCTTAAATGTTGTTTGCCTTCTTTCTAAACAAAATCCACATAATTTGAATTTTCACTTTAATTTTTGCAAATTCTAAAAATCTTATCCCAATTTTAAAACATTAGAGAAGAGTTTGAGGTCACTGATTAATTACAAATTTAGTCAAGTGCATTTCACATGATATTTTTAATATATAAAATTCTAAAAATGCCTGTTTTCCTTTTAATAATGTCCTTATATATATATATATAATAAAATAAATAAAAAAAAACTTTAGTCATTTCACATTTATTATTTTTTAACATTTTATGCTCAAAAATTGAATGTTGGGAATTTTTCAAAACGTATAGGGGTTATATGCTCAATATACATACCATATTGGTGTTTTTCGCCAGGCTACTCTAAATTTGATAACAAATCTAATACAATGAATATGGTCATTTAATTTATTTTTTTCCCCCTAAATGCGAAAAAATTTATAAAACAATAAAGTACATCAAGGCTGAGAGTAACACAACTTTAAAACAAAAAAAACAAAACAAAGAAAAGAAAGATAAAATACATTTTCTTAGAACCCCAACCAAAGGGAACCAAAAAAACACGCAACTAAAAAATTACCTTTAAATCTTCAATATATAAGAATAGGTAGAAAAATTGCAAAAGAGGGACAGATCACCAATATTCAAACTCAAACATTGAAGAACCAAAAAAACCCAACTAAAAAATTGACTCTAAATCATTCAGTATCTAAGAACCAAAAAGCGTTGAGCTTGAATATCTAAGAAATTGTTTTCTCTTTCTTTTCTTGTAATATTTTCGATTTTTGTCATTTTCTGTGATACTCCTCGATTCTAGAGCCACGGGTGATCAAGTCCGAGCACAGATTCGAAGGATACCAAACAATTAATATGTAAACAAGCAAGAATGTATAAGAATTAAGAAACAAATTTAAAGCTAAAAGAATTCTAAATTAAAAATCCTCAAAAATAATATACATTGATATAATATTAAACATTCCAAATTCGTACAGCTCAGGAATCCATCTAGTGGACCCTTAATAATCCCAAATGAAAGTAAAATATAGAACCAACATCCAAAACTAAAATAAGAACGGAAGTCCTACGTAGTCGGAGGAGTGATGACTGTATTTGCTCAGCACGATCAAACTCCAAGCCTGAAACTGACGAACACCTGAAAAATAAGAGTGGGTCAGGCTCACATGCAAATTCTATCCTATTATAATCCATACAGAAACCCGATACGCAAATATATCCTAGATAGCTTAATAATAACTAAAATAGTCCATATATATTTAAATACACACTATAAGACGCTCACTAGCCCAATAGGTCTGTCTCAGTCTGAGTAGAGATATCATGCAAATCGCACATAACGTGGTCATGTATATCTAAACCTACCGGGAAACAGCAACTATATCCAATTATCCATCCTAGGCGATATACGCACCCTAACCATGATCCTGAGACTCAAACTCATATCATGGCACCATAATCATAAATATATAAAAATCCGTTTAAGGAATGTCATTCAAAGGTTTATTGACCTGGCATATAATTATAAGTAGGACTTAACTTTTACAGTTAATCCATCTTATTTCTGAATTAGTAGGACTTAGTATTTTGAACTAATCCATCCCCAAAATAGGTAGGTTTTAGTGTTTTGAACTAAGCCATCCTTAATATGTCACCGTCCCATACCGGTGCATACACATATATATAAGTAGGACTTAACTTTTATAGTTAATCCAACTTATTCCAGAATAGGTAGGACTTAGTGTTTTGAATTGATCCGTCCCTAGTATGCCACCATCTCATACCGGTGCATACACATACAACAAATCCAACAATTGATAAAACAGAACAAACAGTTTATCAATTATAATCCAGAACAATATAATGACAATCAGAATCAATACTAAACACATTATAATGAAATTCTTAAACGTAAATTTCATAAAAATCCATAAATCCAACAATTGATGAAATCAAAACAGTTAAATTATCAATTAACTCCATATAAGCACACTACAGTTTCAGGTAGTCAATTATGCTTACTACCGTACCTAAACATGATTAATACTATTTAATCATACATAGACAAATTGCTAGAATTATAGTAAGCAATTAAATCCTTTAATCAGTCCATAAATTGATGCAGTTTATAATGTATTAAAAACATCAATTTAATCCAATCCAAGCGCAGCTATTTTCAGATAATCCCTTACACTTATAACACTGTTGGAATATGATTAAATATTATTAAATCATATACCAAAGGTTCGCAAAGTTTCAGTAAGTAAACAAATTAACAGAATAGTATTCCACTTGTAGGTTTTTCTTTCACTTTATGTTACTCTATTCCTTAATATATTAATGTGATAATGCTTCCTAATATTTTCATAGGTCCATCACAGCTATTTCCATTCTTCAGTGCAATTTAAACAGTTTAAAAAATACTCTAGACAGCCCAAATAGCCCCAAAAAACCAATTTTGCGCGTTTCAGAGCGAGATCAGGCTCTCACATGTTGAGAGCCTGCTCCAAAACAATGGGAGTCAGCTCCCCACCCTTGGGAGCCGGGTCTAAGGAGTTGGGAGCCGGATCCCTCCATGTGGGAGCCGGCTTTTGCTTTGAGGGAGCTGGCTCCCTTATTTTGGGAGCTTGTTCTCTCTCCCTTAAGAGCCGTTGTCCGATTCTACTTCGTCTTCTTCGCCTCTGGCGATACCCAGAGCCTGTGTAACATTTTTATTACTTGTTCTAGAGTTAAATTAATGTCCCAGGCTAATTATAAGTTGTTGATCCATAGGTTTATCATGTTTGCTCATTTAATGTAAAATCAATTTTACTAGACATCTCATTTTTATCTTAAGTATTGTTGGGTATTATTTTAGTTATATTTATATGTCATTATCAGGTGTGCACTAACAATTGTTTCAATATTTCTTTTAGTCCATGTGCGTGTATGCAGATGTATTGCAAGGATAACAAAGTGTCTTCTATATCCATTAATTCCACGTTCTTCAATATCCAAGTCATGGAATGTTTGCTAGTTGTGCTTAAATGAAGCTTATTATATAATAGTATATGATTTGCTATCTAAAGTGATCCAAAGGCCATAAGTTATCTGGTCAGCTTTTATTTGAAGTCAAGGGCTGTGATTAATTCTTTGATTAGATAGCTTTTGTGTGGCTGTAAGAAGCTGGTGCGTTCTCTCTCTAACGGCTTCATAGTTTAGAGATACATTTGTAGATCAGGTATGCATCTGTTAGAGAAAACACAAAAACTGAACAGAAAAACTATCAGAGTGCTTAAAGATGAAGACACATTGTGAGCTCCAGAGAAAAATCAGGGTGACATAGCAGTGCGCAAGGAAAAATCAAGAAAGATTGAGTGGGTCTGTGCTTCATTAACAATCTGAGATAACCTGTGATGTTCATCTATTGAAGACCAAAGAGTGAGCCTGATTGCAGACGAATTTAGAGCAACCATGAAGACCCATTTTGGCCGAAGTCCTGTTGAAGAAAAATAGGTGACACTCTATTGAAGAACCCATCACCGGAGAGCTACAACGACCACACCGAAGAGCTACAACGACCATACCTGCTTGAAGACTTCATTACAGCGAGCTGAAATCTCTATCGGTGAGAAGACCTCATTCCAGTGATATTCATTCTCAGTCCAGTGAGCTCAAATAGCAGTATACCAGGACGGCAAAAATCTCTAAGCTTGTATCCAAGCTTCGGTGCAGTTTCATCCTACAGAAATATTTCAAGCGAGCTTCAGTCCAGTTCCGTTCAAACAAACACCATCTCCGGTTGAAGCTTTGAAGTTGATAAGATCAAATCCAGAAGCGGAGTGCAATGTTTATCATGTAAGGGCTGTGAAATCTATATTTCAAGTTTTATGCTTATTTAAATCTTATCTTGTAAAACTTGGAAGAACACTGTCATTGTATTATATTTTCTTGCTGAGTGACTTGGTGAGCACTTGGTTCAAGCATTGGGATGCTATGAACAGGGGGAGTACTTGAGTGATTGTTGTAAGATTGGTGAGTGGTCCTAGCACAAGGGTGTTGTGGACACGGGAGAGTGCAAGAGTGACTTATATGTGAGGTTGGTGAGTTAGATTGAGAGTTGGTGTACTCTATTTCATTCATAGTGGATTTTAAGTTGGGTTTCACAGCCCCGAGGACGTTTCCCCCACACTGGGGGTTTTACCTCATATATCTGGTGTAAGACAATCGTAGCATTTCATTTGATGTTCTATCATCATGTATTAGGATAAAAAGTTGTAGAAATCTCATAAGATACTAATTCACCCCCCTCTTGGTATCTTCAATTGGTATCAGAGCGAAGGTCTACTTGTGTCAGGTTTCACCACCTGTAGAAAAGGTCTTAAATCATGGCAGATGAAGGTCAGGCTATTAACAAAGCTCCAGGATTTGATGGGACAGACTATGACTCATGGAAGATTAGGATGAAGGCATTTTTAATGTTTCAAGCCTATGAGGTTTGGCAAGCTGCTACAATAGGAATTGTTGTACTCGATCCTAATAACCCCTCAACCGCAGATAGAACAGCTTTGTCAAATGATGGCAGAGTGAAACATGATCTGTATTACGCATTGAAGCAACAGGAGTTCACCAGAGTGAAAAATTGTAAAACTGCAAAAGAAATATGGGATTCTTTAAAAGCTGCTCATGAGGGAAACAATATTATTAAGGAGAACAAGATTTAGCTTCTTAAGGTTCAATACGAAGGATGCAAAATGGAAGAGAAGGCGAATGTAGCGGAATACATGTTTAGAATTAATAAAATTGTCAACAACATAAGAGCTCTTGGTGAAGACATGAAGGGCTCAGAAGTGTGCAAAAAAAATACTCAGGTCACTAACACCTAGATTCAATCCAAAAGTGACTTTTCTTGATGATAAGGAAATATCCAAAATGACTATTGATGATTTGCAAGCCTTTTTGACTGCATATGAGATGAGGATTAGTGTTCAGACTCAATATAGAAGAGAAACTGCTGTAAAGGCTAAGGAAACTGTGGAAGAAGAAGTTCAAAAATCTGATGGTGACTTATCTGATGATGAAGTAGCTTATCTAGCTAAGAAATTCAAGAAGTTCAGGTTCAAGAAAAGAAGACAATCACAGGGTCAGACTTGTTTTGGATGTGGAAAATCTGGTCACTTTATTACAAGTTATCCAAGTAACACAAGGGCTCAAACTTATAGAAAACCAGAGAATTTCAACAACAAAAATAAAGGTAGAAGAAGGCTTTCCTCACTGGTTGGGAATCAAGCTCTGAAGAAGAAAAAGAAAAAATAATTTCAGGGGATGAAGGAACCTGTCTATTCAGGGCTATTCATGAGTCTCTGTAATACCCCTAATTTTAAAAGGGACAGTCCTGAAATTTAATAAATTGTTTAAATAGTATTTTTATTTAATTAATTGTTTAAATTGTATTTTATGTAATCAATTGGTTAAATTGCATTTGTTTATTTCTTTGGTGTGGTTTAATTGTTTTAAATTGTTTTAGGGCATTTAATTATTTATTTGCTTTAATTTAATTATTTTATTTTACTTATCTGAATTTAGGGTTTTATGTTTCTAGTTTAGCCGACACTGTTTTAAACCTAGAATATTCAATGGGCCAAGTTATTTATGGATTAGGGTTAATGTTTAAGTCTATAAATATAATCGCATGTGGGTTTAGGGTTTTAGAAAATTCAATAAAACCTATTTACGTAACAGAGTTCTACAAAGAATAGGGAGATACAGAGAGAGAAAAGAGAGGAGGTTTAGACCAAGGTTGGACCAAGAAGGAGGAAGGAGAGGTGTTTTTGGGGTTGAACCAAGGCATTGGAGGAGCAGACTTGCAGTATAGGACACGAACATAGCTTACAGAGACGGTGAATTAGAATTTCAAATCTAAAATTTAAAGGTAAGTTCTGTTCTTCTTTCTCCCGTTAATTCGTGTTTTGTGCATGACTAGTTGGACTCCGGGGATTTAATAAATGCTAAAACAGTTGTAAATAAACATAATAACATGTTTTGTGCATATAGGAATTTATGTTTAATCTCGTGAATTAATTGTTTTGCATGATTTTACTATTCTGTTTTTGTTTCCTTCTATGGGTTACGATTAAGCTTTGATGGTTGAGATTAGGGATGCGACTTGATGCCTTGTAACTAATTTGGGACTGAGTTTGAACTTAGAACAAAGTTTTAGAAACACCTCAGAGGCTCTGTAATCACCGGAGCTGGAGAAGATGAAGCTAGAACGGGCAAAAGGCTACTGAAGGGGATTGAGCAGGCTCAAAAAAGCCTTAGAGCCGGCTCAAAGGCAAAGGAGCCGGCTCTATCTTTGTTTGGAGCTGGCTCAATGTTAATGGAGCCGACTCCAAGTGGAAAATTGAGCAAGCTCAATGTTTAATTTGAGCCTGCTCTCTTTTATTGCGCACATATTTGGTTTTAAGGGGTTGTTTGGCTGTGCAGTGTTTTCTGAAGCCGTTTAAAAGCTACTGTGAGATGTAATTAAATGTTAGGGACTTAAATAAAGGTTTAAAACATTTAATACCATAATGGTTTAAGGGTAGGAGCAATGAACAGATCAAATAATGGTTATACGTTGCACTGTTTTTGCTAGGTTTATATAACTGGAACTTGGCAAAGTTTTTATATATAATTCAATTATATATAACCCTATATTGTTACTATGTTATAAGTATGGTAAATTAATTATATTTATCTATACTTAGTTGGATTTAAATTGACATTTAACTTGTTTAATATGTATCAATTTATTGGCTGTTTTGGAGGATTCAAATGCTATGTCTTATTCTAGTTGTTTAAATGATTGGAGCATGATATTTAGGTTCTGTAGTGAATACCTAATATTGATATATGTATGAATTTATACCAATGCATATACTGGAGGATGGTTGTTGATTATATAGTGTTGTTTTAATAACTATGCTATGTGGAGAATTTGTATGTACCGGTATGGGACGGTGACATACTAGGTATGGATTAGTCAAACACTAAATCCTACCTAATTTGGATTAAGGTATGGATTAACCCTATGAGTTAAGTCCATCACCTACTTGTGTCATATCAATCAAATAATTGAATGACTTAATATGGTTTCAGGATGGATTTGCTTTACATTTATCAAACTACTTTTCAGATGGTTGATATTTTGTAATAGGAGGACACGGACTTTATATATTTATTATATGTGCCATGGTATGAGCTTGAGTCTTAGGACCATGGTTAGGGTGCGTATATTGCCTAGGATGGATAGCTGGACAGAGGTGTTGTTCCCTGGTAGGTCTAGATACACATGACCACAGTATGTGCGATTTACATGGTATCTCTATTCAGGCTGAGACAGACCTTTTTGGACTAGTGAGCGTCCTATAGTGTGTACTTATACATATATGGACTACTCTAGATATTGTTGAGTCTTTCTAGTATGTATCTACGTATCGGATTCCTGTTTGGATTGTAGTAGATCAGGACTTGCATGTGGGCCTGACCCACTTCTTTATTTTTCAGGTGCTCGTCAGTTCCAGAGTTAGAGTTTGGACGTGCAGAGCAGATACAACTATTCACTCCTCCGATTATGTAGGAATTTTCTCTATGTTAACTTTGGATTTTGTTTTTATTATTTCAGCATCGTTTGGAGAATTTAAATAAGGGGTCCAATGGATGGATTCCCGAGTTGTAAACTGATGGAGTTTTGGAGTTTGGGTTTGATGGATTTTAATAATTATAATATTTTGCGGATTCTGTTTTTAGTTCTTTTCAGCTTTAATTTCATTTCTTAATTCATTTTGTATTCCGTGTTCATTATAAATACTTTAGTTGTTTGATATTCCCTCGGGCTCGGGCCTGGGCCTAATTAACCCGTGTCTCGGATTCGAGGGGTATCACAGTTGGTATCAGAGCACTCCAGGTTCAAGTGTCTCTAGGATTCTATCGTATAAGATTTCCGCGTAGCGTTATCTCTTGATTAGAGCTTAAGTTTAGGATTCGTTGTATTCTTTACGGTCCTAGTATATCGTACTGATGTCTGATTTTATGTGTTAACAGCATTGTTAACGCAAGAACCAGACGTAACAATCATCGACGAAGGGAGGAGGCACGTAGTCAGCAAGATTTCCTACGGCGTCGGCAGATGGAGGAAGAGCAGCAAATGCCTGGGTTTCAGGATGTTGAAGGTCATTTTCGTAATGAGCAGGAGGAAGTTCAGCAGACTCCGGGTCAGGTCAGAGATCCAGAGATTCCTCCTCACCTCAATGACCTTGTTGCTCGGGCTATAGAGGCTGGGGTAACAGCTGCACTTCGGAATCAACCACCGGTTCAGTAGGCACCTATACCAGCACCGGTTGTTTAGACTAATACTTAGGAGACGGCTAAGAGCTCTTTCACCAAGGGGAGTCCACCTGGGTTCTCAGGCTCCACCGATGCGAAAGCAGCTCACCAGTGGAAACGGGACATTGAGCGTCATCTTCGCTTGGTTCAGTGCATGGAGGTTCAAAAGCAGATGCTTGCTACCTTCAAGCTGGTTGGGGATGCACTACAGTGGTGAGAGTCCGTTACCACTGTAGAGGAGAGGATGACATTGAGTTATGATCAGTTCAGTACTCGCTTTGATGAGAAATATTTTTCCTATGCAGTCAGGGCAGTTATGAAGACTGAGTTTCTAAATCTGCAGCAGGGGAACATGACGGTGGCAGAGTATGAGTAGCAGTTCACACGCTTATCTCTGTTTGCTCCGGAGAAGGTGGATACGGAAGAGAAAAAGCGCAATAGTTTTGTGAAGGGACTGATGTGGTCGATTAAGCGAGCTATTATAGGCAGTCCAGCTTACACTACCTATGCTCAGGTGGTAGACGCCGCTTTGCAGCAGTATCAGCTGACAGTGGACATCAGACAGGACAAGGGTGAGAAGCGGGGTGATAAAGACTCTGCTAATCGGTCAGTTGAGAAGGGAAATGGAAATGATCATCGACAGAATGACAAGGGCAAGTTCCAGGGACAGCAGCCTTGGAAGAAACACAAGGGTGGTTCAGATGATAACAGGGATGTGTCACCTATTCATGGGCAGCAGAATGGGGGACCACAGACTGGACAAGGTCAGCCATAGGCTAACAGACAGCGGAGGCCATTTGGTACTTTCCAGGGTAGTTACTACACTTGTGAGAGTATGGTCATACCTTCAGGCAGTGTCCTAAAGCAGGACAGGGATATGGGCAGCATGTGCAGCAGGGGCAGAGGGCGCCAGTACCTTTACTCGCTCCACAGGTACCCCGGATTCAGGGACAGACTTATCCGGCTTTACCGGCACCGCCGCAGCCTCAGGGACATGCACCGCAGCAATTGCACCATGGCAGGGTGTACAACCCCATGCCACAGGATATGCAGGCACCTCAGGCTATTGAAGGTAAGTTTCCTATTCATGATTACTAGGACGTGTTTTGTGGAGTGCCACACACTCGTTATATTTCGGTGTTTATATTTTTTTATCTGGGATGAGGACGAGGTTATTAGTATATCGAAGTTGGGGAATTTGAGTTGCAGCCAGATGTGACTTATTTTGAAGTCACTGAATAGTATTATTAACTGTAGGGATAATTAAATCCTTCGTAATAAGGTTTTTCTTTGATGCGTGTTCAGTAAAGTCATTACAATGAGGCTGAGTCCACTGGGGAATAGGAGGTTGGAGTCGCTCGTAATTTCCTAAATTATGGGAAGAAGGTAAGAGCGAATTCCGAGGATGAAATTCCTTTTGTTAGGAGGGAAGAATGTAATACCCCTAATTTTAAAAGGGATAGTCCTGGAATTTAATAAATTGTTTAAATAGTATTTTTATTTAATTAATTGTTTAAATTGTATTTTATGTAATCAATTGGTTAAAAGGGACAGTCCTGGAATTTAATAAATTGTTTAAACAATATTTTTATTTAATTAATTGTTTAAATTGTATTTTATGCAATCAATTGGTTAAATTGCATTTGTTTATTTTTTTTGGTGTGGTTTAATTGTTTTAAATTGTTTTAGGGCATTTAATTATTTATTTGCTTTAATTTAATTATTTTATTTTACTTATCTGAATTTAGGGTTTTATGTTTCTAGTTTAGCCGACACTGTTTTAAACCTAGAATATTCAATTGGCCAAGTTATTTATGGATTAGGGTTAATGTTTAAGTCTATAAATATAATCGCATGTGGGTTTAGGGTTTTAGAAAATTCAATAAAACCTATTTACGTAACAGAGTTTTACAAAGAATAGGGAGATACAGAGAGAGAAAAGAGAGGTGGTTTAGACCAAGGTTGGACCAAGAAGGAAGAAGGAGAGGTGTTTTTGGGGTTGAACCAAGGCATTAGAGGAGCAGACTTGCAGTATAGGACACGAACATAGCTTACAGAGACGGTGAATTAGAATTTCAAATCTGAAATTCAAAGGCAAGTTCTGTTCTTCTCTCTCCCGTTAATTC